TGCATATTCAGTTAACAGCTGAAGATTTCCTTGCTCACGATCTGATCTACAGAGTGCGTTATGCATGCAAAACAAAACCGGCCCACCGAGCTGGAAAGTGCATTGACCCCGCCTTCTCGGGCTTGCGAACGAGTGATAATGCTACACACGAACACAAGGAAACATACGGGAATGCTGTTTCGCGGTTCGTCGTGCACTGTGCGCCGAGTCACAGTCAAGCCCGACAGGGAACTGTCGCGAAAGAAATGCAGGACTTTTACAAGTCCATTTTTTGGCAGTAGCTTTTGAGCCACATAAAATGTAATTTTAAAACTGTTGTTGGTAACACACAAATATATGCCAGTGTGAAAAGTACTTTGTGCAAAAAAATTAAACTCCAATTCGCAAAGCAATAAAGAAAATAACTGAATACATGTATTGATTTCGTTTCAAATTTTCAGACGCGTAATAGTAAATAAACATTCAAAACGTTTCAAGACGTAGACTTCCTAGAATGAGGGCGCTTCCTCTTGCATTTGTCAATGCAATCTCCAAGCTTATAATACAGGGCTCATTCTTCTCAGGAAAACCCTTCTCCTAGCTCCAAGTCCCATACAAGGAGGCAAAAAAGTGAACTCTTTTATAGACACACAATGAGACAATGACCATAATCAGATCACGAGCCTCATCTAGACTGAATCATATTTAGTGGTCGTCTACACCAAAAAGTGTAAAATAACGTAATTTATCCCGCAATGATTGTCAGACATTGTTGATGTAGCTTCAGATTACAGATATAAGGATGTTTTCTTTCCAGAAATGGAAATTTCATTTTTGTCTCATAACGCAATGAAGGGATAATTTCTGGCACGTAGCACGACAACTTTGTTGGAAGTTTATGCAGTACATTGTATACAATGTACTGCATAAACTTCCAACAAATGCACGTGCAAGAAAAGGATAAACAAAGTCGTCCATTTAGAAAAAACTAGGCCTACCCTCTTCATTTTTTTGGGGGGGTTATTATTATCAAAATAAAAATGATTAGTATAAAAAATTGCCGTGCTTGTTCACGAAATATTTAACTTACCTGGAAATGCAACAGTGTATCTAGTTCCTCCTCGGCAACAGTGTAAAATGCCTGGTGATTGCCGCTTCGATGATAACGCCGAGCTACCGTACCGAGGGGCCTACGTGGCCAATCTGATTGATGATTTTCGACAAAGGTGTTTTCCAAAACCCGATCATCGGCTCCGTCGCAGGCTTCAACTTTTTTTTTTTTTGGAAGTTGTAAGCGTAGTAGTAAGTCTGATAGTGCCACAAAACATCAAGTTAGATGCAAAAAGTCAAACATTACAGTACTTCAATTTAATTTAAAAGTCTCAGGCCCACTATCTACTTCGTAGACGTAGCTGAGACAGGGACGAATTGAGTATTGGAAAACGGTCATGTCAAATGTATGATGCACTGCTCACTTGGCATGTTTTGAGTGACAGCGAGAAAGGGATCGGAGTCCGTATGGATCAAAACATTCTTCCTTTTCCCCCGTTAATTAGGCGTGACGAACGCGTTCTCAACAGTGGCAGCAGCAAAGGTATGCAATGTTCAAAGACAGTGACAGAATGAATGGTGGTTGCTATCAATTCTTGTTGTAATCTGCCAAACTTCTCTTCCAGTTTACAAGCCAGTAATTGCTGTAGACGTATGATGTATCTTTTCTACACAGACTCGGTCACATAGGCCTACATGTATTTCATTATTTTATAAGGTGTAAAAATATTTCACTGATCACTTTTAAGATTTCGACTGAATTTTTTCCCCAGTATCTTTTTCTCTAATGTTTTGGTACAATCATGATGTTTAAAAGGAAATGAATTATTTGAGTTCCTCGCCATTCACTGACTTTGCAACATGCGTTTGGGTTACCACGTTTTTGTTTTCGATGTCGAGCTCAGCCTTTTAGGAAAAAAAGTTGAAGGTAAATTATTTCTTTGAATTTTTTACATTAGTTTACTGCAGAGTTGTACAAAACCTCTGCTGCCTCTTCCATGTCGCAGCATTAGCAACCAAAAATCTCTTTCTCTGAACACCATCTTTGAAGGAGTAAACATAAAGAAACATCCATCTGCAAGGAAGAGATATCAACAAACAGGAGTAAAATGAAGACGCTCTTTTATTGTTCGATTCTCTTTATTTCATTTCTTCTCAATGAGTTTAATTATATCAAAATGATGTCAATGTATTACAGTTCCTATGCAGTGCTATACATGTACACGTACTTTCAAACATTATATGATATGAGTAGACCTTGAAGTAGAATGTTACGGTTTATATTTCGTCAAATCCCGACAAGCCTTAAGAGATATTTTTGATTTTCACTTGAATAATGTTTTAATATAACAAAATGCAATACAACAAAGTTGAAACCTAGTTGAACAAAACCAAACCCGCCAATTACGTTCTTTTGTTAGAAAAATTCAATGACGAAACGGAAACGTGCTGGCAAACTCAAAACTTCAAAGCAGCGTACATTATTGCTTTTCTACTTAGCGAGAGATGCAGCTTTTCTGCATTTTGCGTTGACGCTGTCCATAATTTGGTTTTTTTACAGTTTCATTGTCGAGCTGCCCAGGAAAGTCAAGATGGGCCTGTGCTTAAATTGCACGAAACGCATGCCTTTTCCTCAGCCCCTCTTCCTTCACCCTAGCTTTTCCATTGAAGACGTCGCCACCGTGGAAATTTGACTTCGCAAGTTCTTCATGCGAGAAAAGCTTCCCCGTCAACTTCACCACGAACTCCTTGACACCGGTAGACCGCCAGAACACTCCATCAAACATGTCTTTCTCCACTACCAAATTAACGTCTTGGGAGCCGATCAAGCACTGCCCTCCGTCCATCGGCACGTATACCGGCTCATTTCCTTTGCTTCTGCTGGCTTCCTCCGTCGACTGTACGCGCAGTTCCCGAACTTCTGAGCGAAGACTTGCCACTTCATGAGTTAGTTCACCCACTTTCCGCAGCAAGGTCGCATTTTGTTGAACTAAGAGATTCAACATGTTCGACGTCATCGACTGGGTGGAAGACAGGTCAGTGAATGGAATAGGTGGGAGTGAAGTACTTGCTGGCTGGGCTGGTGGCTGGCTGGGAGCGGGAAACAGGCCGGCGGGGATGGGCTCCGTGAAGGCAACGTGCGGGGATGAGGTCGATATTGGCTGGACTGGTGGTTGGCTGGGAGCGGCAGACAGGTGGGCAGGGAACCCCATGGCGTCCAGAGGAGGCTGTGAGCTAGTCAACTTCTCAGTCAGCACAGCAAGTGGCAAATTGTCTTCATCAGCACTATCAACAATTCGCTCTGTGGAAATAACCAGAATTTTACACTTTAAAACATACTCCCGCAGACAAAATATTGGATATTGCGATAGGCCTACACATCCACACACAAGTCAATCTTCCAAGCAAGTCTGAAAACAACCTTTTTCATGCTCTCAGTCGGAATGTAGTAATTGTAAATGGCCAAAATTGTACTAAGCTTGAGCACTGTAGTTATTTCTTAAACGTACCATTTTTACGCTTTTTATAATTGACAAAACGCCTGCATTGAGACCGTAAACTTACGAAATTTTCAGTACATGTACTCACTCTTGTCATCAACGCTCACAATTTTGGCTTTGTAGTGACCAGACTTGTACGACACTTGAACGCCCATACCGACTCACGAGTTTTCACTCGACTCCTTGGGACAGTTTCCTCTATCCCAAACCCTGCGGGCCACTGTGTGTGCAACCACTTGATTAACTTTATTACTAGAAGTGGCTCGGCTATATCACAGCAAATGGTCCATGATCACAGCACACTCAAAAGTCTGTCGTTCTTCTGACTTATAGTCCGTTCAGTGTCAGTATGGTGTCCTGTTTACGTCTCCCTTGCGTTTTGACGTCGCGTGTAAGTCAAGTTGCGTCGCCTTTGAAAAGGCTGGGGAAGGCAGAAATGCGTGTCGTTAATATTACACCATAGTTCAGACATCAGTCTAATTTTGACAAAGATTTTGGTAAAACCACTTTGAAACCTTTAGGTAGTATTTTCAAGTTGTTAACGCTTTGTTGACGCTACTTAGTACGTTGCCTGTTGACGCTAAATAGCAAGACCGCTTAATATCAGTGTTAAACGTGGTAAGTGTTGGACATTTTATATGGTTGAGGGAAGGTTGTGCAGTTCGTCCTAAAAATCCGTTGCTTGCTTATTCGTTGCCCCCTCTACGCGTGGATGTATGTGGGGCGAAGTGGCTTTATCGTAATCACGCGCGCCAAGCCGATAGACTAGACCCAAGTCCATTTATTTAACTGCTCACTTTGACGTTAATAGGCCCTATTTAATAATACTCAGCCCTCATGCCGGTCATTGCCGATGCATGCATGTGAAGGTAAAATTCAGACTGACATATATTCATGTAGTCCTAAGCCTATCACATTACAGATTAGGCCAAGCACTGATCAATTTAGAAAGGAATTGTTTTTAAAGATTTGGTACATGTATGTTACTTTATGTTAGGCGATGGAGCTCGGGCCTAGGCCTACATGTACATGCAGGCCTACAGGTAGGCCCAACTTTATTTTTCCTTTAGGGTGCAGCCATGGATGAAAAACAATACAAGGGCCCAAAAAAAGACAAGACACAACAAAACAGGAACAAACAAATCACAATAAAACGAAACAGGACAGAACCGTTATAAGAGTAGTTTCTAGGGTTATGAATACAGCACCTGTTCAATGGATGTCATCTTCCTCAATGTATTCTGCCTGGTTGATGGTGTGATGCACATCTGCAAATTTCACAAAACAACTCTTCGATATTACTCCGGCAAGTTGCTGCCTCAGGAAGCAACTGCGCCTGCACTGCTATAGAGGCATCTAAATCTCTCAGATAGGCTCCAACCTTTTGTTGTGGAACTGATGTCAGTCCCTCTATTATCTCCAGCTGCAAATTTAGAATTAAGACCATAATTGGAATCGCGACATATTGCAATGTCATGATAGACAACACACGAAACGATCATGTGGGTACATGTAATCACTCATTACCTTGTACCATTCTTGGACATGGTTGCCCACAAAGGACTTTCCATGATATGCCTGTCTGTAGATCCATAAAGTTGACAATACTTTATCTAGTGAACTGGCCACAGGACCAGTGCCGTACATGTAGGTCAGGCCTACTGTTGCTGGGTCCATCTCCTGGGTCAGTCTATAAATTTGGGATCCTAAGTGTGACATTTTTCCATCCCTGTTAGCTCTAACATGTGTACCATCTGAGATGTTTGACGAGGGCTAGATCACTGAAATTGATTTCAAACTTTTTATTTGTTTGACACAACTGATGGTCAGGCTTGTGACATGAATACTCGAATGCATCGAAGAGTTTCTTGTCTACACCAAGCGAGACGTGGAGACTGGGAACAACCAAGTGTAAAATGACAAAGTAAAGAGAAAATGAAATTGGTGTTTCTGAAACAGAGAACAGGTACAGTGTACATGTAACTCGACCAACTCTAGACTTTGGGCTTAATGTAGGGCCGGCACTGATACGTCAAAACTGTTTCTGAGTTACAAACAGTGACTAGATGAATAATCCGTTTTGTATTCCCAACTAATTACAACTTTAAACTTACATGGTCAATTTTAATGAGCATCATTGACTCATGAACCACACTGAAGGAACCTCTTTGGCTCTGTGTTTTTCCCCGTGATCTTCATGAAATGCCTTCAGGTCAGCAGGAATAGAAGCCTGTGTTCTAGTTTTGCATGGACCTCGTGCACAGTAGAACTTAGAAGATGCATCGAGCTGCTTAAGCATAAAGTTTACTTACATGTAAGTGAAACAAAATCTTGCTTGATAAATCAGGTAACTAGCCAAAACTCTGTGCATACTCTTTTGGAATGGTATAAATTTAGCTGTCTTTTGGTCAGCATGACAATCACATTGAGTTTGAGCTAGTAACCTTTGCTTATTAACATTAAGCTAGGTTTTTTCGCGCTTAAGCAGATTTTGTGCTTAAGCAGCTCTATGAAGTTGGCCTTTCAGATGTAGCAGTATCTCACTATGAAGATAAGAGGTACACCTGTAATTAAAATGAATTTACATGTAAACGTACCACTCACAAATATTTGCCAATTTTTGTAACATGAACCTACCATTGCATCCATTGATATCCACAGCTTTGCAAGGAACTCATAGTCCCCACAGCAGAATAACCTCACTGCTCGGTTCGTGGAAAAAGCGTATTACACACTTCATTCCATAAAGAGGTATTTGTCAGCATTTTGATACACTGTACATGTGATCAATTATCTTTGCCCGATTGAAGTGTGTGTGATTACCTGTCAAGACAAACGTGAAGCGTTCCTATTTCCATTTTAGAATTGCCAGTTGAGCAATCTGGTCCATTACTGGGGAAAGAGTACGCTGTAGGTTTTGACGGGAATCAATTGCACCCACCAAAGTCAGGTGGTCTGTAGTAGGTATGCGACATTAACAAACATGACGTACGTCTTCCCATAGCAACGTTTTTACCAAAACTAAAGCCAATTCTCTGTACAGTTCCCAGCACGTCAGTAGTCTGAGTACTTTGCTGAACATCGGCTTTATTTTTAGTAAATCCACACTGATTAAACACTTTGCTGTGGAAGGACGCCATGCTTGTTAATGTTTGATACCCACTTTACATGTAGGCCATGTGAAGTACACCTGTGAACTACATGTACTGTATGTCTGGGAATGGGAACCAGTCTTGTGTTTGTTTATTTTATTGTACTCAAATAGTAGTGACACCAGTTGACTCTAGCTACTTATAGATACCCGACTAAAGTCGACTTTTTGTACATGTACATGTACATGTATATACCAACACTGACAGGACTCGACCCAAGTAATAATGTTCAACTGACTGGAGCTACTTGAGTCACAGTGTTATCCGTTTACAGGTCTCGAGTTACAAAGTTTAGTGACTCATTACAACTTTGGATGAAGTTACATGTACATGTAACTCACAGACTCAATGAAGACGTTTGTTTGAGTCTCATTTGTATGCCAACAGTGTAAGAAGCAGGCTAAAGAGAGAAACTAGTCCCAATGATGACCCAAGCGACGGCAACTCAGACGTGATGAGGAACAAGAACAGTGGATGGAGAACCAACAGTGTAAGAAGCAGGTTGAAGAGAGAAACTAGTCCCAATGATGACCCAAATGACGGCAACTCAGACGTGATAAGGAACAAGAACAGTGGATGGAGAACCAACAGTGTAAGAAGCAAGCTGAAGAGAGAAACTAGTCCCAATGATGACCCAAGCGACGGCAACTCAGACATGATGAGGAACAAGAACAGTGGATGGAGAACCAACAGTGTAAGAAGCAAGCTGAAGAGAGAAACTAGTCCCAATGATGACCCAAATGACGGCAACTCAGACGTGATGAGGAACAAGAACAGTGCATGGAGAAAGCAGCAGGTAGAAAAGTGTCACTTTTCGGTCATGTTTGCCATCTGTTCAGAAATAAAGTTTGCTGGTTCATGTACGTTTGGCCATGGCATTTTCCAATGTGTAGAAGTTCTCATGTGCTTCTGATAAAGAAAGTGGATATTTAGCCATTACCGGCAAATTTAAGTAAATTGTATTTTGTCAGCTACAAGTAGACAGCGCCCTCTTTGAACAAGTAAACCTCTAACGGTAATTAAATTCACATGATATTCCGATTTCATTCAGTGATGTAGTGGATAGGGTGCACATTTTGAGATTGCTTGATACGCTCTCATCTGGGGTTGATCCACAGCTGTCATCCTTTTCTTTCCCAAAATCTAAGAATTTTTTTCTTGTGTTATTGTAAATTGACTTCAACATTTCATTACAGATTATTACATCCTTTTTCTGACTCCTGGCCTTGGAGGATTTTTTTTCTAAGAAAAAGTTTGAAATTGTAAAATCATACCTACCGGTATGTTGACACAGACCCTGACTGAGATTTGTCATGGTAAGAATTTTAAAAGTCCCTAAAATATTTACTGCAAATGTTAACCAAAGCAAAATTGTCTTTAGTGACATTTGCCAGCGATGGCTGAATATCCACTGCCTATTATTAAAGAGCCATGGATGCACTTGAAGAAATCTCAAATCACACAGCCGCCTTTTTTTGCAATGTGAAAAGAACAGAAAGCAATCACTTGATACCATCTTCTGTATGTACATTTATCAACTGACTTGAAATAGACCTTGACCTTGAAATAGCCTTGTTAGAGAAAGGTGGTAGCGGCACGGTTGGTCCCCTGCCTGTGGGCTCATCTTCAGGCATCACTGCCCTGATAGAGAAAAGTGGTAGTGCCATGGCTGGTCCCCTGCCCGTGAGCTCATCCACTGGCACCACTGCCCTGATAGAGTAAGGTGATAGCAGCATGGTTGGTCCCCTGCCTGTGAGCTCATCTTCTGATATCACTGCCCTGATAGAGAAAGGTGATAGCAGTGTGGTTGGTCCTCTGCCTGTGGGTTCACCTGAATTATGCATCCTGGACACATATTCATGTTCAGTCGAATTCAGCTGTGTGATGTAATGCACTGAACCACCAAATTTCAGAAGCTGCACACGCATGTGTCAATGCAGTTTTTCCATAAATGGTTTCCAGCATTGTTTATTTCAAAATAATAAATTCGAGGAAAAAAATTTCACAGGAGCGTGTCCCACAAAGCCCAATTTGCTTTTCATTAATGATTTCATAACCTACAAATGATGGATTGTACCTTTAATATTTAGAATCCAATAGTAAATACATGGAAGTCTGATTGTTTTCTCCTAGATATTTCAAAAGCGCCCTCTCTTGTTACAGTAGGTCCAATGTGAAGATTTGGTCATTTGAGTGTTATAGAACACAAGTCATATTCTTTTTGTGAACTTGAACTTTTTATCAGAAATGTCTGTCTCTACAGCTGTACTCATTGTTCTCTGATTGACTTCTTCCGCAGACATTGTCGTGTGAAAGCTGTGCACATGCCCCCTCAAGGAGAACCAGATCTACCACGCTGATGAGAAGAGCGCCCTCGCCTGCTTCAACAAGAGAAGCAATATACATGTAGAGGACACTATCCTGTGGGACTTCCCAGAGACGAATCACGAGAACATCAAGATGTCAGTCCTCGCCTCCTTCATGGAGGAAGAGTTTCCACAGCAGGATCTCAAGCAGTGGCTCACACACAGGCAAGGAAGAGGAAAAGAGACGGCGTCCTCGCTTCTGCCTTACAGTGACGTAAATCTGTGCAGGGGAGGGGTTGCTGGACACTAGAGGGACATACCTCTTGGTCTTTCATCTCCCATTTTAAGTGCTGTTAAAAATTTTAGCTATCGGGAATTTTGAATAATGCCTCCAAATGTGCCTGAATGGTCACTGCCAAAAATGAATCATAAGGTAGTATCGTTGATGGCTCTTGCTGTGCAGCTGAAAAGGTGGAGTCAAAATTTACGCAAGATTCATTAAAAAAAATTCATTGAAATTCTTACTTGTACACTTATTTTCTCTTACTTCATAAATTTGTCATTAGAAATTAGCTTTTCACAATGATTTTTTTCTGAAAATGGATTTGGCAAACAGTCAAGTTGTCTCAATGGTCGAGTTGTCCAAAGTCGAGTTGGTAAACGGTGGAGTTGTCCAACATCCCTCCCAACATGGCAGCAACTCGGCGTGGCACCAAACGCCATGCTGTCATCGTGTTCAATTAAATGAAATTCACGCTTCGGCTTGACATATTTGTAACACGCGTGTGAAGCAACATACTCAAGGATGATAATTAAAATACAAATAAACCGGTACAGCATGACAAGGGTAGCAGCAGTGTTGGCCTAATCAAAAGCGAGACGTCGTCGGATTTTACAGGTTTTTTTTTCTTGTTTGTACAATGCTTCCAGAACTGTTCGGAACAAACCTTCATTTTTAAAATGCGCAAACTTGTTAACGAGGGAGGTCCAAATTATCCAACAATGAACTTTTCTTTTGCTGAATGAAACAATAGGGCAGAAATATGAACCAAACCGCATCCATAAATTTGTAGAATTCTTACTTGGGACTTAACAACAGCAAAATCAATGGCAAAATCGCTGCCTTGGGTAGTGAAATTACAGAATCTACAAACTTGAATGGTGCACAGCCAAATCGAGCAAGGATGCCTTAGGGGAAAGTAAAGTTTATACTGACTGGAAAGATCCCATCGCAGGATTAAATGATGAAATTGCCAAATGACACGGTGAAGATGATGAATGAAATTCTTAAATTGGCAAATTGAATGGTGAAATTATCAAACGGAATGGTGAGCCTAACTGTATAAAACGAAAAGTTTTGATTATAGAAACTGACAGCGTACATGCGTTTGCCAAGGAAGATAGCGGTGGAGTTCCAGAAAATGATTCAGGCATCATTCTCTCTCTCTCTATGCATTTGCCGCACGTTAATGAAGTGCATTCTACACGGCAGAAGCACAACGTTTGACACAGGCCTGAGTCACATAAATGGAGGAGAAGTTGATCTCTGGCACTGAAATCCCCAATGAGGACAGTAGCATCTCCAGGAAATACATTATTCAGGAACTTGCTGAACTGAATGTTGAAGTCATCGTTTGACTCTGAGCTTGAAGCTGCAGGTAGAGTAGGTGCGAAAGCAGAGATCAAGGAGATCTAGCCAGAGCTGAGACCCTTCATAGAGACGTGTGGCAAGTGGAGATACACATGTTTGGAAGTACCATTGATCTGGCTACGTTTTCCCGAAACGCCCACCACGCTGGGAATCAGAAGCAGAATAGCAAGACTATTGAGAAGAGCCATCGTGATCAGAAGATTCCGAGCACTAAAGCTTAAGGGGTAGGAGAGTGAATGTTTGTCAGGGGCAGTGGATTCCAACTGAATGCAGCGGGCATGACAGCAGAG